AGTCGGTTGGGGTCCATGGGATAAGAGAAACCAGTGGTTGGGGGCTGACTCTAGGTGATAACATGGCTAAGAACCGATGTGAGTCGCGCAGATGTATACACACATTATCCTCATCTTAACGACGCTATACCAAACGTCACCACTTTCTCATTCTTAGTTTCTCCCTTTTCGTACTTTATATTTCTTTTGATTGAATTTTCTTATCTTCTTATCTAGCGGTTCACTGCCTTTTTACTTGATGTAGTGATATGAGATGTGGAAGTTGGACCGTTACGCATTGATGCCTGGTCCTAGGTTGATCTGGATGGATGGATGGACCAGATGACGTTTCGAGCATAGATAACTATTGCTCATAATCACATCAATGTAATCACACACCTTTCGATATTTTCTTTTCATAGTCTTGTTGCCTCTCATTTTTTGTTTCTGTTGGCAGTAAAATCTGCCATATCTCTGGTATACGTGTTGCATCATTTTTGTTACATGTCTTGCTCTTCACTGAATTATATTGAACTTGAGTACAGGGGTTTTATCTTATCCTATTGTGTGGTTGTGATTGTGTTAATCCATGCATTGCAACAGTCGAAATTTTTCTAAATCATTCATCAGATTACTCGGGTCTGTCATTCTATGTTTCACTGTTCTAAACAACCCCAATCAGCTGGGCTAGTTTCATTTATGTACTTGACCTAAGTCACAGTCATTACATGGAATTTGATGGGTTAGATTATCTTGCTTCAGTGGTTCTATCGTATCCTTAAGCGGACAAACCTGATCTCTGAATGAGTTTGTGGGTTTGAATGTCAGTCTAATTCCAGCTTTGTTTAGGATCCTACATGGAGTCTCTGATGTACCTTAGTGAGTGTTTTGGGCCTGAAGCTCACAATCTTCAAATTTCAGTACAAAATATACAGACAAATAGAAGTAGTGGCAATGGGATGACCAATATCTCCAATCATACCAAATATATTCATCGATAGTTAGGAAAACATGGCTTTACAAACAATTAGTTCTATACCAAAAATATGGTGGCGATATATGGGTGACACATTCACTTTTGTGTTGAAATCGGAACATATTGACAACTTCCTCATGCATATAAACTCAGTAGTAGGTGCAATCGAATTCACTTACAAGGAGGTAGAAAATGAACACGGGGAGAATTTCCTATGTTGCATTGCAGAATAGAAGGAGGAAGAGAGGGTGGCTTGGATAGTCCTGTCTAGAGAAAATCAACACATTCCAACAGGTATCTAGACTTCAAGTCATTTCATCCAGTGGCAGTTAAGGCAGGATTAGTCAAATGTCTAAATGATAGAGCTAGAAAACTGACTAGTCAGTGTAAGGACCAAAACAAAGAAATGAAGCATATGAAAGTAGCGCTAATAGTTAGTAATTATCCTTCGCAGTTTAGCGAGAAATTCGTACTAACACACAAGAAACGAAATAATAACAGTAACACAAGTAAGAATAATAACGACAAAACGAGTAGAAAACAGTTCACACTCTTCATTGTGTCACCACATAAAGAAGGAACATCAGCAACTTTACGTAGGACCTTCAACAAAACTGGCATTAGGCTGGCATTTAATCCGACAAACTTACTCAGAGATAACCTTTAGCGGCTTAAGGATTTGATAGAATTACTGAAGCAAGGTAATCTAAGGCATCAAATTCCATGTAATGACTGTGACTTAGGTCAAGTACATAGATGAAAACAGTTCAGCTAATCAGGGTAGGTTAGAATAGCTGAACATAGGAATTGAGTTAAATGAAGAATGACAGACCCGAATAAGATGAATAATCTAGAAGAAAAACTCGTTTATTGTATTGCATACATTAGCACGCAATCACACAATAGGGTGGGATAAAACCATTCTATTCAAGCCTAATATAATTAGGTGGTGTTGGAATCAACACCCAACACATATAGTAAGGACGACGTAACACCTATACCAGAGGCATAAAACATTTTACTACTAATATAAACAAGGAATAAGAGGTGACTGGACTATAAAATGAAGATGTCAAAAGTGGAGTGTGATTACATTTATGTGATTATGTGCAATAATGATTCATACTTGAGACGTCATCAGGGTATCAGAGCATAGAACGGCAGTCAACTCTCTATCTCAACTTCATCAATTTTGAAACGGCATTTGATAGCCTCAACAGAGAAGTAATCTGGCAGCAGCTTCAGCACTATGGTTTTAGTGCAACAAATCTTTATCAACCTCATTCAATAGCTTTATGACGACGCTACATGTTAAATGATTCACAATGGAAAGCTCACTGACACCTTTGAAATGAAGACAAGAGTAAGACAAGGCTGTCTGCTATCAGCAATGATCTTCCTGATTGTGGTTGACTCGATTGGATCATGCAACAGACAACTGTGAGGAGAGAGAAGACGCGCATACGCTGTTTGACCGGTGGAAAGGCCCTAGAAGATTTGGGTTTCGCCGACAAGAAGCGCCAATCACCATCAATGGAAGAAATCTAAACGAAGTGACCTCTTTCACCTACCCACCTATGCAGCATCATTTCAACTACAGGTGGCACAGACACAGATGAGCACGTGAAAGGCAGGATCGGCAAGACAGCAAGACAGGCCTTCATCAATCTGAAAGCAGTGTGGAGATCTACTGAGCTCCACTCAGCATAACGCTTCAACAACATACGCATTTCAACACTACTAATGTGAGTCAAGTAAGTCAGTGAGTGCTTCTATGTGACGGTCGAGAGAGTTGGCGCCTTTCGAAAGGCATTTCCAACAAACTACAAACATACATCACATCAAGAGCTGCCGCCTATGCTCACTCCATACTGACAGTGGAAATCAGATGGCCAGAATGACAAGAATAAGAAACAAGGAACTCAGGCTGGCTGGCTGGCTGGCTGGCTGGCTGGCTGGCTGGCTGGCTGGCTGGCTGGCTGGCTGGCTGGCTGGCTGGCTGGCTGGCTGGCTGGCTGGCTGGCTGGCTGGCTGGCTGGCTGGCTGGCTGGCTGGCTGGCTGGCTGGCTGGCTGGCTGGCTGGCTGGCTGGCTGGCTGGCTGGCTGGCTGGCTGGCTGGCTGGCTGGCTGGCTGGCTGGCTGGCTGGCTGGCTGGCTGGCTGGCTGGCTGGCTGGCTGGCTGGCTGGCTGGCTGGCTGGCTGGCTGGCTGGCTGGCTGGCAACGAACCAACCAACAAATATGTGTTAGAAGAAAGTGGAGGTGGATTGGGCACACACTAAGAAGACTGTTTGGGGACATCACGCACCAGGTCACGCCAGGCCGTGGAGTGGAAGCCAAATGGGAAACGACGAGTTGGATGTCCTAGTTGAGGTTGACATGGATGAGATGGTGTGAGGAAGAAACGAGAGTTTGTGGGGAGTTTTGGAGCCAGGTTGAAATGACAGCATAGAAGATAGTGAGATGGCGACGTGGTAGTGAAGCCCTATGTTCGAGTAGGAACGCAAGCGACAAATAATAATGGACAAAAATATAAGGAATTACATTCTACCACACTTTTCACATTTTACACTTATACTAATGGTCGTACAAACTGTTTGAACACATAGTTCTGATCTGAGAACAAACTGTAGGTGCATGCATGTACAGAAGTAGGTGAACGTATCGATGCTCAATGATGTAACATTTCTTTAACATTAAAATGGAGCATATGGGTGCTGGAATATGTAACTCTTAGAGACACAGCACAGATTGCTTTCCATATTGACTTTATTAGACTGTTCTTAAGTATTTAATCTGTAATATCGCCTCCGAATTGTAAACTGACACAGATCTATTTTAGCACAGTTGTTGTATGAAACGTGGTGGGATCAGTCCTATGATCTGTTACCTACAGACTATTACATTTGTGTGTCTCCTGTATTTATCAGACTATTTGAAGGTATCTTTTCAACTTTTAGACCATTAAACGGAAGCTGTCAGGTTCATTGTAACCTTAGCAATACGAAAGTTCAAACCCTTTTTGTATATTCCTTTTTTTGCAACTATATACTATACACCTTCTCAGAATGATATTACCGAAAACTAATTTCCTCGTCAAAGTCTTCCTTCTTGTAAATCTACAATGCACAGTTCGCATTCTTCTTGTCTAAGGCATAAACTGAAACTTTTTCGTTTCCCAGAGTGATTTGACATTGATAAGTGGATGTTTGTTACTTCCTCGGATGGAGTCGACAAGAAGTTCTAATCTATCTAGGTTTTGTATCTATCAGCATTCATCAGGAAGCTGTCAGGAAGTTGATTTCCACTCTCTAAGAATTCAATTACGTCATTAATGATTTCAGTGATGATCAGCCTATGACTTTAATGGTCACATTACAAAATAATTGACAGAATTTGGTCAGCACTCAGGAAGAACTAGTCAACATACTATTGGTTGCTTTCCAATGACCAATCAACGCATAGCAGCTTCCTTGAATCCAAATATTATTTTATTCCATTATTGTTTGTTTGTTTTTTTTCCTTCAAAAGGGTTTTTTATTCATAAAACAATTTTATATGAAATTATAATTTTATACATGTTTCTATCTTTTCTAATGAGAAATAAAAAATAAAAGAGAATCATACTATTCTAGATTCCCTTTTATCAACTAAGTAGAATAACATGTGGAACAAGTGACCAATCAGATTTCAGCACCATTAAACGTGTGCTGTTCGACTAAACAAAAAAAGTGAAACATTTTCAACCGTTAGACTACGTGACTCATCATAATTCTATCACAAGGAAGTTGTAATACGAATATGGATGTATATATATATGCACAGAAATATATGTTGGTAAAAGAAGTCAACATCATTTTTCATTCATTTAAATCTCAATTAATCTTACTGTTCAATTTTAACAAGTGTCCTTGAAGAATTTGTTTAAATCAACCACAAACTAGTATAAGGATAAGGGCGGAATTTTTAAATTGTTAAATTTATTTTGAGATAATTCAAAGAAAAAAAAGGAAGTAACAGCAAGAAGAAATCACTTTGATCAGTACAATGGAATCACAAATAATTTTAACAGAATGGAAAGAATTTGGAACGATTGGTGGGTATATTCAAGCTGAAATATTACACTTACTTCAACTTGTTTTATTCAATCAACGTTGGGATATAGATGAAAATGGTAATTTCTGTTTAATTTACATTTTTAAAATATACTACTATAATGTTATAGGTAGAAACTTTATGATTTTATTGCATAATCTACATTATATATACTAGATCATCTAGGTAATGAGATTGTAAAGCGTATAAAAGGGAGGGGAAGTAGATCAATGAAGATAATAGAGGATACTAGAGGGAAGATGAACAATGCGTAAGTGATTACCTCACCTGTATTGGTTGGTTACGGTAGTGCAACTAATTTCATTTTGTCTAGTCTTGGGTTCAGACCGAATTCTATCGATGATATTTACAATGTGGCAACCAACCTAGGAAGCTCAGCATCGCGGTGCACATTAGTAGATGTTAGTTGGTTGGAGGCAGTCGGCAGGAAGCCCTGGGTTCGAATCTCAGGCTGGACATCAGTCCCGTCTAGGTTGCAGATACGCTTTACTGACGAGTACCAAAAAGCAGGAAACCTTGGTCCAAGGCTTCCTGCCGATTGCCTCCAACCAACTAACATCTACTAATGTGCACTGCGATGCTGAGCTTCCTTGGTCGGTTGCCACATTGTAAATATCATCGATAGAATTCGGTCTGAACCCAAGACTAGACAAAATGAAATTAGTTGCACTCCCGTGACCAATCAATACATGTAAGCCAGTCCTACAGGAGGTCAATCGCTGCCCGGATGGCTCAGTGGTAAAGTCACTGACTACAACACTGGGTGACGCGAGTTCGGATCTCAGGAGGGACATCAGTTCCGTCGAGGTTGCAGATACGCCTTACTGACTAGTGCCAAAAAGCAGGAAACCTTGGTCCAAGGCTTCCTACCGGTTGCATCTAACCAACTAGGGTTATTACGTCACCTCTGAGTGTGTCTACCACTTCATATGTGTATGGTTTGTGTGTGAGCTATGGAGATGAGGGTCGTAGAACAAGAGTGAATGGAGCGCAAAACCTTGATAGGTGGAAATGGGCGACGATTCTCTTCATCCATAGACAAATATGTTATGAAAACGTGTTGCAACAATAGTCAGGGAAGTATACGGAGATCTGGGGGAGAGATAGCTGTACGCCAATGGAAAACACCACCTTTATATGTACACTTTGTTTTCTTACCAATATTTCGGGTTAACTATGTCACTCTTCATTTTACCCCTCATCTTCGTCTTCTGAGTACACTATTTAAAGAGCATATATTTCTCAAGTTCACAGCAAATGAACTTCTAAGTACTTGGTTCATAGATAATGATCTGAACGACAGACAACTTACTAAAACATATTGCAGCACGCAACTACACACAAACTCCAACAGTCTATATACATTTACAATGACCTTCATTATTCCCAAACCTTTTTACAAGTGTGCTTTATATTGATTTCTCTTCCGTAACCAATTTGATATTTACGCGTATGTTCATCTACCTTTTCTCGAAACTTGGAGACGAAATCATTGATTGTGAAAGATTTCAGGGCTTTAGAGCTTCTTACAAGGATCTAAGTAATCTTAGTGTACATCACATAACAACGACTCTAATTTCCTACCTGTATATATTTCTTCAATGAATCATTGGTAAATTAAGCCTTTAGAATGAACGAATTGACTTTGTTGAACCCATTGAATTTTTAAGGATGTATTGAACATTGAACAGATTTGATAGAATATTGTTTTAAGTAAACTTAATTTGAATTTGTAGTTATCTCTAAAAAAAAGTTAATTTAAACACCAAGGTTTCAATGTTTCATATTTATTCCTTTACATTTTACATTGAAAATACAGATGACATTGAGACAAACAGATTGTCTATTAATGGTCGTATGTACTGCACAGCAGTCTGCTCTATTCTACTGTATGACTGCGAAACATAGTCGTTGAAGGTGGAAGACATCAGAAGACTTCAGGTGTTTGACCTTTGTTGCCTTCGTAGTATACTCCGTGTTTCGTGGTGTCATCATGTGAGTAATACAGAAGTCAGGCGTAGAGTTTTAGGGAGTATAGGTAAATCAGTTGACACGGTTGTTAACCTTCATTGACTGAGGTGGTTGGGACATGTGTTACATCACACAATGTTGACCGAAGTAGGTCCAGACTGGAAAAAGGCCCAACACGAGTGCATGAAGTCTTTGACTGTTGGTTTGAGCCGTGTGGGGGGGGGTGAAGACTAGCCGCTTGGGGTCTGTGGGACAAGAGAAATCATGGTACCATTGAGATTCATAAACCAGATTGTCCTATTCGACTACATAGTAGACTTTAGAAACACCCATATTCGTGACTTATCTACATATTTCGCCATGGTAATAAGTCCAATTAGAAACTATTCTGAATCGAGATTTAACAACCCTTATGACTTGAGGTGGTGAAAAAGTTGTTGTTTTTGACGGAGTTAGTTTGTATATCAATATACCGATTGGCATGTATTTGGAAGGAGTTAGAAATGAGCTAACTAATGAATATAAGCTTACACTACAAACTAAAGTACCAGTAGATGACATCGTGTTAGGAGTTCAGGCACGTCTAACTGCCAGAATCTTCAAGTTTCAGAATAAAATGTAGAAATAAAGTAAAGGAGCTGGAACGGGATCACCCCAATTTCGGCTGACATATTTATGGATAGTTAGGAACGAATAACTTTGGAAACGTTTACTCCAGCTGCAAAAATATGGTTTAGATGCGTACATGAATGGTTTACAGTGTCAAAATCAAAGGGCATACATCGATTCTTCAGAGATATAAATTCAGTAGCCAAAGCAATTCAATTAGCCCATCAATTAGAAAATAGTAAACGAGAATTAGCGATGTTGGACTGCAGAATAAAAATAAAATAAAAAGCAGGAGTTTAGAAATTTATGTCTGTGGAAACCCTTCATACTCAAATCGTCTCAATTAATGTAAGTTAAGTTTAGCTTAGTAGAATGTCCCAGTAATAATGATACCGGAGAGACTAAAGGATGCGCTGCATTCAAAACTGCGACCGGAACAGGCTGGATTCAGGAAATACAAATCATGTGCGAAACAAATTGCAACGCTACACTACGCATCCTCATAGAACATAGTATTGAATGCCAGTGAATTTAACTCTACCTTAAATTAATCCACTTTGAAAAGACCTTCGACAGTGTCAAGCGAAAAGTAATTCAGAAACTGCTTCAACACTACACAATACCACAAACATTTATCAACCTCATTCAACAGCTATATGAGTGTGCTGCATGCCAAGTGATTCACAATGGGAAGCTCAGTGATGCCTGTGAAACGGAATGAAGACAGGAAGGAGTAAGATGAGGCTTCCACCTACTATCACAAATCATCTTCCTGATTATTGTGGTGGACTGGATCATGCAGCAAACTGTGAGATGTGAGAAGAGAGGCACACGCTGTTAAACCAATGGAAAGACCTTAGAAGATTTTGATTTCGCAGATGAATTGTGTCTAATATCGCACAAAGTCAAATATGTGGAGGCGAAAAGCAAGAAGTTGACAGAAGAGGCAGTGTAGGGCAGTTAAGATGGACCTTCAAGTGAACGTGGAGGAGACAGATGTGATGATGATACCCAAGCAATGCCACCACCACCACCACCACCACCAAGCTCCAATCACCATAAACGGGAGAAACCCGAATGAAGTAGCCTCTTTCACCTAACTAACTAGGCATCATCGTTTCAACTACAGGTGGCGGTGATGGCACAGATGAGGATGTCAGAGCCAGGCAGGGTCGGAAACACAGCAAGAGAGGCCTGCGTTGATTAACCTGAGACCAGTGTGGAGATCTTCGGCACTCCAGTCAGCATTAAGCTTGAACAACATCCGAATTTTCAACACCAATGTCATTCAAGTAGGTCACTGCTTCTATGTGATGGTTGAGAGATTTGGCGAGTTACGGAAGGCATTTCCAACAAAATACAGATTTTCATCATCAACTGCCACCTTCACTGGATCGTTGCCTACACTGAAGATCAGATGGACAGAATAATGAGAATGAACAACAAGGAATTACCACTGGCTGGCTAGCAACGAACCAACCAATAATCTATCGCTCAGAAGGAAGTGGAGATGGATTGGATTGGATTGGATTGGGAATGCACTGAGAAGACCATTCGGAGACATCGTGCTTCAGGCCATATCATACACTCGAGTGGAACCCAGATGGGAAACGATGAGATGGTCGTCCGAGTTGATGGTGACATTGGGGAGGTGGTGTGAGGGAGAAGTGAGAGGTTATGGTCAGTGTTGGAGCCAGGTTGAAAATATTGCAGAGAAGCGAGTGTGCTGGAGACGTGAAACTGAAGCCGTATGTTCCACTAGGAACCTAAGGGACAAATACTATGAAGTAGTAATAAAAATCACACCCATTTATTAGAGTATATATATATTTAAGTAGTATATTTACCAATGTTAAAATTGACGGAAATTGACAGATTGAAACAATAAAACTGTGCAAAATGAAACACTGAACAATAGAGATTATCTATAAATGAATAACTTCTGGTAGTCTTTTATCGTTTATCAATTATATTTACTCAATTATCAGTTGTCAAATATTGATTAAGTAGTTGTATGGCATAAACGCAAGTTTTACCGTATATCACGTCACTAGTTAACTGATAAAGATGATGAAATCTGTTAACGAGCATATATGTACACGTGTAACAATCTTTTCCTTAATATGTTTGAATTAATTGTTAATTAAATGAAATTATGTTTTTGAAAAACCACCAAAACATTGTTTTAACTCATTGAAAGGTGATTTACGCGGAAAAATGAAGATTATGTGTTTTTATTGGCATACAGAACAGGAAAAATAAGTAATCAATTCCTTACATATTTATTTTGTGCTTTAAAGTTTCTTTAGTGCTTGGATTGGTTTTACGCGGTAGCGTTGGTAGCCCAATTCGCAACCTTCCCTGTTTATCCGGGCTTTGCAACGGCTAGTAACTAGTGAACTAGTTAACCAGGCGAAGACTTCAAGTGAATGTAGAGATGTCGGAGGTGTTGAAGATATCTAACCAACAATACCATCAACAACAAGTACCAATCACCATTAACGGAGAAACCTTATGAAGTAGTCTCATTCACCCACCACTTAGGCAGCATCGTTTCAACTACTGGCAGTGATGGCACAGACGAAGATGTCAAAACCAGGATCGGAAAAGCAAGACAGGCCTTCGTACATTAATCTGAAATAATCAGTGTGGAAATCTACTGCAGTCAGCATAAGGAACAAGGTGCTGATTTTCAACACTAACGTCAGTTAAGTCAGTGCTTCTATGTGATGGTTCGGAAGCTCGGCGCGTCACAAAAGCAATTCCAGGAAACCGAAGACATAAATCAACAGCTGCCACCTACGCTCACTCGATACTGACACTGAAGATCAGATGGCCAGAATAATGAAAATAAGCAACAAGGAACCCTACACTGGCTGGCAGCGAATCAACCAACAGCCTATCACCCAACAAATATGCAGAAGAAGGAAGTGGTGATGGATTGGATTGGGCATACACTGCGAAGGCCGATTAGGGATTAGGTGGGTAGGTGCGAGATACAACTTCGTTTAGATTTTTCCTGTTGATGGGGATTGGCGCTTGTTGTTGTTGTCGTCGTTGGGCATCTTTATCACCTCTAACTTCACTGCGTTCACCTGAAGGTTTGTCTTTGCTGCTTTTTCTGTCATACACTCTAATTTCAATAATTCATCTTTTTTCTATTTCAGTTACTATAAACCTAATTCGTGACCTTTTCAACACATGGTATTCTTCGTCTGTTCCAGAAGGATTGACTTCGCAAATAGTACAGGCATTGGGACAAAAGGTAGATGACAATATCTTACCTTCGCTATCCACCGCGTTAATATCCCCATCAACATTTTCATCACCTCTACCATCGGTACTTTCTGACGAGCTAATTGTCATTGGTGCCGGTCAAATGAGAACTGGGACAACAAGTTTAAAGGCTGCCTTACAGATGTTGTATAATCAACCGTGTTATCATATGTCTGATGTTGTCAATCACTATAAAGAATCACATATACAAAAATGGTTACATTTATTCAACGAAATGAATAAGTCCAGCGATAAAAATTGTATTTTAAATGAAGCTTACTGGAAAGATATTTATGGAGAATGCAAATTTGCTGTTGACTATCCAACTTGTTTATTCTACAAGGAATTGATGAAGATCTATCCAAACGCTAAGGTAACTATCTGAATAATCAGTTATTCTATTTGGTTTAATGAGAAACATGTTTGAGGTAAATGTGAAAGATTCAAATTTATATTACTTAATAACATATAAGTAGTTAAAAACAACCAACATAAATCATTTGCACTTTGGATGATTATTAAAAGCGTATGGCCTTGTCGTTAGGATGTCATGAATTTTCTGATTTCAGTATGCATATTCAGCTGAGTATTATGATTTGATGTAGGACTGATCTATGACTGTTCTAATGAAAAGTGTAAAAGATTTCATCACTGCAGTACAAAATATCATAGCAAACATTCCTTCCTACATTTCAGTCTGTGACGTTTCTGACATTTAGTATAGTTGCTATACGATCACTTCGAAGGTGCTATGATTTCAGTGAGAGCAAGAATACACAACTAGATGGTAACACACATAGCTTACGGATAGTAAATACGGAGAAACGTGCATGTATGTGTGTTGAATATCAGTGAAATGACACCAAAGTGAAAATTACAACAAGAATAATCTGACTAAATTACCATTTTGAGGATACACCGTTTTTATCCCATAATATGTGTCATCTTCCTCAACACTAGTTACTGCTTGAGTAAAGTGAGGAATTTCAAAGAATGCTTTGATAAAATCAATAAAACTATATTCAATATTCAATCACCATGGAAGTAAACTAACTGATGTCATTCTTTCAGAATTTCCAAGGTTCAAATGGTTATGCATAAATGTGCATCAATCAGAAATCAGGTATCCATGAATGTTTCAAGGTGAAGATCCTCACTAAAGGATAATTTGATCATATCCATAACTATGAAAGCAGAAGTATAATGAATTAGCTCAAATACCTGATTTCTAACCAATCGGTGTAAAGTAATCATCATCTACCAATCTAAGGATGGGTAGTTGGATGGTTTCATATGCCTTAACACATTGAGCTTCGCTTCAATGTCTAGTAAATAAACTGTACACATGACAACTTATATGTTTGTTTATAAAACGACAGAAGTGAAAGTTTATCCAACGCAACCAGGTGTTTTTGATTACTTATTTGTTCATTGGGTTCCTTCTGGAACATAATGCTTCACTACCACGTCACTATTTCAATGTCTAATCTCCAGTCTTCTTAACCTGGCTCCACAACTCCCCGCAAACTCTCGTTTCTTCCTCACACCATCTCATCCATGTCAACCTCAACTAGGACACCCAACTCATCGTTTCCCATTTGGCTTCCACTCCACAGCCTGGCGTGACCTGGTGCGTGATGTCCCCAAACAGTCTTCTTAGTGTGTGCCCAATCCACCTCCACTTTCTTCTAACACATATTTGTTGGTTGGTTCGTTGCCAGCCAGCCAGCCAGCCAGCCAGCCAGCCAGCCAGCCAGCCAGCCAGCCAGCCAGCCAGCCAGCCAGCCAGCCAGCCAGCCAGCCAGCCAGCCAGCCAGCCAGCCAGCCAGCCAGCCAGCCAGCCAGCCAGCCAGCCAGCCAGCCAGCCAGCCAGCCAGCCAGCCAGCCAGCCAGCCAGCCAGCCAGCCAGCCAGCCAGCCAGCCAGCCAGCCAGCCAGCCAGCCAGCCAGCCAGCCAGCCAGCCAGCCAGCCAGCCAGCCAGCCAGCCAGCCAGCCAGCCAGCCAGCCAGCCAGCCAGCCAGCCAGCCAGCCAGCCAGCCAGCCAGCCAGCCAGCCAGCCAGCCAGCCAGCCAACCCGAGTTCCTTGTTACTTATTCTTGTCATTCTGGCCATCTGATTTCCACCGTCAGTATGGAGTGAGCATAGGCGGCAGCTCTTGATGTGATGTATGTTTGTAGTTTGTTGGAAATGCCTTTCGAAAGGCGCCAACTCTCTCGACCGTCACATAGGAGCACTCACTGACTTACTTGACTGACATTAGTAGTGTTGAGATGCGTATGTTTTTGAAGCCTTATGCTGAGTGGAGCTCAGTAGATCTCTACACTTCTTTCAGATTGATGAAGGCCTGTCTTGCTGTCTTGCCGATCCTGCCTTTCACGTGCTCATCTGTGTCTGTGCCACCTGTAGTTGAAACGATGCTGCCTAGGTAGGTAGGTGGTCAGGTAGGTAGGTAGATGAGAGAGACAACTTAGTTTAGATTTCTTCCGTTGATGGTGATTGGTGCTTGTTGTTTTTGTTGTCGTGGTCTTCCGTCTGCTCTATGTTCACCTGAAATCATTCCTGTCTTCGTTACCTCCTCTGCCAACTTGTTAGATTTCGCCACATATAGGATATTGAAAACTTCAGATCTTCATTAATTGAAGGATGAAGTTCAAGTGGAACCACAAACTGAGGATTCTTCATATTCAAACCCTATTGCTAAGCGTATGCCTAATGGAATTTAGACTACTAAAACAATTGAGGAAGTTAGAATTTTAGCACAAATATCGCTCTCTAAGTCGAATTATATCAGCCTTTTAATGATTGTTCTACAAGAAGTTTAATTCTCACCTAATACAATATCCTTTTGTAAACATGTCACTAAAATAGGTGACTGTACTGTGTGTTACAGTTAGTTAACCTCATTTGGCAATCATGACTACAACAGAATACTGATTATATCCCACCGAACTGTTAATACACTACTAAATTTGTTAATAAGTAGTAGAAACTGACCAATATTATAAGAAGAGCATGTTGACCATGTTGAATCTGAATATCGTTTGTTGTATACACTTCATAATGATAAGGTATGTTGAAAAGTGAATAAAAAAAGGTTAGTCAGATAGATTGCAATTTTTAAGAAAAGTTATTTATTCATTCTGGAGGTTAGTGGAGATTTATCAATTGATTTCATGTAGTAATTCACCAACAGTTGCGCTGGATACGAAACTAAGACCGGATCAGGCTGGATTCATCCACTTTGAAAAGACCTTCGACAGTGTCGACCGAAAAGTAATTCAGAAACTGCTTCAACACTACACAATACCACAAACATTTATCAACCTCATTCAACAGCTATATGAGTGTGCTGCATGCCAAGTGATTCACAATGGGAAGCTCAGTGATGCCTGTGAAACGGAATGAAGACAGGAAGGAGTAAGATGAGGCTTCCACCTACTATCACAAATCATCTTCCTGATTATTGTGGTGGACTGGATCATGCAGCAAACTGTGAGATGTGAGAAGAGAGGCAAACGCTGTTTAACCGATGGAAAGACCTTAGGAGATTTTGATTTCGCAGATGAATTGTGTCTAATATCGCACAAAGTCAATATGTGGAGGCGAAAAGCAAGAAGTTGACAGAAGAGGCAGTGTAGGGCAGTTAAGATGGACCTTCAAGTGAACGTGGAGGAGACAGATGTGATGATGATACCCAAGCAATGCCACCACCACCACCACCACCACCAAGCTCCAATCACCATAAACGGAGAAACCCAAATGAAGTAGCCTTTTTCACTTAACTAACTAGGTAGCATCGTTTCAACTACAGATGGCGGTGATGACACAGATGAGAATGTCGGAGCCAGTCAGGGTCGGAAACACAGCAAGAGAGGCCTGCGTTGATTAACCTGAAACCAGTGTGGAGATCTTCGGCACTCCACTCAGCATTAAGCTTGAACAACATCCGAATTTTCAACACCAATGTCATTCAAGTAGGTCACTGCTTCTATGTGATGGTTGAGAGATTTGGCGAGTTATGGAAGGCATTTCCAACAAACCACAGATATTCATCATCAACTGCCAACTTCACTGGCTCATTACTGACACTGAAGATCAGATGGACAGAATAATAAGAATGAGCAACAAGGAATTAACACTGAATTAACACTCAATAAATATGCATCAGAGGGAAGTGGAGATGGATTGGATTGGATTGGATTGGGAATGCACTGAGAAGACCATTCGGAGACATCGTGCTTCAGGCCATGTCATACACTTGAGGGGAACCCAGATGATAAACGATGAGACGGTTGTCCGAGTTGATGGTGACATTGGGGAGGTGGTGTGAGGGAGAAGTGAGAGGTTGTGGTCAGTGGTGGAGCCAGGTTGAAAATATTGCAGAGAAGCGAGTGTGCTGGAGACGTGCAACTGAAACCGTATGTTCCACTAGGAACCTACGAGACAATTAAAAATAAATAAATAGTAATTCATCGTGTAGCTAACATCAACTGAAAGGTCATTGGAAACCTTGAAGCATTAGACAGTGCTCCCAGTTTCTCAATGTATCTCTAGCTGATGTCATTCTATGATATCTTCGAATCTGAAAAGTTGATTATATCAGTTTTAGGTAACTGGCTATCTGTTTTGTGTTAGGGTTACTCAGTGGTTCATGCATAAGAACTCAAGAGCTTCAGGTGCCATGGTGAGCACATTACCGTTGAGTCGACGGTTTACAACTTCCTACTTTGATCAATAAGTAATGTGGCATAATTATCATCCAGTGTCAACTGCGAGTTCTTATCATCACACCCCAAGTTAGTTTATGCTTCAAGTAGCGGCTTCCCATTGCAACTTTAAGAAATTCATCTCAGAGAATGTCCCTAATGATTAGTGATAAAGATTTCCATAATAGAAAGAAGAAGCTACTCAGTACTTACTGGTTTTCAAGGATTCTGTAAATGATATCAATCTGTGATAAATTTATTATTATTATTTGTCCCTTGGGTTCCTAGTGGAACATAGGGCTTCAGTAGCACGTCTCCAGCACACTCGCTTCTCTGCAATATTTTCAACCTGGCTCCACCACTGACCACAACCTCTCACTTCTCCCTCACACCATCTCCTCAAAGTCACAATCGTCTCGGACGACCATCTCATCGTTCCCCATCTGGGTTCCACTCAGTGTATGACATAGTCTGACGCACGCTGTCTCCGAATGGTCTTCTCAGTGCATTCCCAATCCAATCCAATCCAACCCAATCCATCTCCACTTCCCTTTGATGCATATTTATTGAGTGATAGATTATTGGTTGGTTCGTTGCTAGCCAGTCAGTGTTAATTCCTTGTTGTTCATTCTTATTATTCTGGCCATCAGATCTTCAGTGTCAGTAATGAGCCAGTGAAGTTGGCAGTTGATGATGAATATCTGTGGTTTGTTGGAAATGCCTTTCGTAACTTGCCAAATTTCTGAACCATATAGAGTTTTATCTTCAAAGTTTACGTGGAATGTTGTTCTATTCCCTTAAAAATTACCAATTTTATTTTTGCTTCACTCGCATCCTTTTGTAGGTGATCCTGACAATTCGTGGTGCTGATTCATGGGTGTCAAGTTGTCGAGCTACAACCGCTTCAGATCTTGTTATGAAGAAACACCCATCGTTTACAGAATGTTTAATCTATCGACTACGTGGAATTAAAAGTTTACCAAAATTGCATGATAAAATGTTCAGTCAAGCATTTGGCACTAATTATGATACAATGACAAATGATGAATTAAAACAAGTCTACCTTCAATGGAATCAAAATGTTATTGACTCTGTGCCAAGTGATCGTTTACTAGTTTTTAATCTTGTACAAGGATGGGAACCATTATGTGAATTTCTTCAGATCCCTGTTCCTCAAGATATAAATTTTCCTCATTTAAATAAAGGTGCTGATATGAGAAGAAACTTATTGAAATATCGATATTTAGCACAATTTATGAACTTTCTTATAGTTGGTTCATTTTCCATGCTGATATGGTTTATTGTAATGCGTATTATTTAATTTTTGGGTGTAAATTAAATAGATATCAACTACCTACTAAAATTTTAATAAGTAGGTAAAGTGTATACTCTAAATGTAATTGAGCATTGGCGACCATTTCATTTGTAAATAAATATATTCACTATCACTGAAATATGCAAGTGTGTTTTTACGTTCAATTTATGGATGTTGAACCACCTTCTTCTTCATAAATGTGGGGAAAATGGATATTAACTTATTCTGAGGTTGTTATTACTGTCAAATAATTTCGACCAATTTAAGTGATTACTACTCTGAAAATTCAGTAGGCAGAGTATGGAGAACGAAATGTTAGCTGTATAGAATGGTTTCATTCATTTCTGAGATTCTAGTCAACTGCTTGTAGGCTAGAACAACTTCAATATCAAGTTGTGCAAAGTGTTTGTATACGTGTTTGATTTTGCCTGCAAGACTGAAATGACCAAGTTAATCTCCAGCAAATAAGCCAAACACTTAAGTTACGCGTAAATTCCAAAAACAGGATTTATTTGAAGTAGGGTACTGTATTTTCAAATATTAATGACTAATACATTGCAAATCTTGGGTCTTTATGTACCCTTGGGCCTATCAACACTAAAAGTACATTGTAGAAAGTGCGTCAACATTGTAACAGTATATCTGTATTCAAAGCGAACCAGAGGAACATATCAATGGTGCGTGGATCTACATGTTGAGGTAAAAGGCATGATGTAAGCGAATGTTCAAGGGAAGATATGGGATCATGGGACTAACCGGAACGGGGTGGCAAAATACAACTATCCTATGATGATAAATCAAGTAGAAAATATGATTAAAACCTGAATGAACACTCACCTGAGAATAACACTGAGGAAGAACATATTTACACTACTTATTTTTAGTAAGTAGTATAAGTTGTATACATAAAGCGGTGCGATCGTAAAATCGAGATTGAAGGAAATTAGAACGCAGTAAGAAATGAATTAACATTGGAAAACAAGCGGATAAATGTTGTGTGAATGAAGTCTGATGAGTAGGATGAATAGATGTGCAGGAAATTATAATCAAGTAGTATGTATACAGAGGAAGATCCATGGAGTGTCCTACAGTGGGAATTGAACAAATTTTCTCAGCATGTGGAATATATTTTATTGCCTTTGTTGTGTTTGTTACTGTTATAGTACAGACAGACAGATAGAAAGACAGAGAAAACTGACGTTGATCCTACCACAAAGGTGGTTCAGTCCAGGTTATTACACATTACAGTATTATACAAAGAACAGGTGGATTGGAGAGACTGATGTCAAAGTAGACAAAAAGTGTACGGCCATGTGGTAGCCAGCCTTCTCAGACAACGGAGAAGACACTAAGCTTTTCAATTGCATTCATCCATGGTACTTTAATTGGAAATTTAAATGATTGAGTGTTACAAACACTCAATCAATTATTCTCCACAAACTATCAATTGAACTGCTTGATGGTCACATTCTTTGAGATAAATTCCAAGGCGGTATACGAAGAAGTTGTCTGTCATTTGTGTGGTCAACTAGGCTACCTCTGAAGATAGATATTTGCAGATGACACTAATATATCGTTTTAAGCATTTCATCACTATGTTTATCAGCTTGAAATCACATATTCGAACAAAGCATGGGGAGGAAACAGTGGGACAATTGAACACGTTGTGAATAAGAGTAGCCTTACCCTAAGTAGCTGCCGATTCACAGTTATGTGTGAAGTGAAAAGAAACCTTTCAAAGTCTATATGTCTTCGTATTTGCAATATCACTGAAACTATTGTCATCTATATGGAGAGCCTGAGCTTTGTACGTAAAAGGAAATTATACAACCACTTCTTTTATAATGGTAATTTTCAACCTTCGAAATCACCTTTGTCTATGTAAATTGTTCATTTCTTACGTAGTTTGACAACTCATTCACATTTCTATACTCTTTCTAACCCTACTTGAGTTTCCAAATACTTTGGTCATGTTAAGCAACTTCTTATCCAAATGCTGGTCGTAATTTAGTAAATCTTCCAGAATTCATGATAAATTCCTTTAAATGGAGAAGGGAGAAGAAAGGCGTGTTAAGCTTACAAATATCTTTGAGTATCTTTACGAGTACTTCCCATTCATAAAAGTGTGAAAGTTTAAAAAGAAGATTTGAAAGGAGATAGCATACTTCAACAAGCATTGATATCTTCTAGTGATATGACTTGTAGGTGATGTCTTTGACTGGACTGAATTGAGCAGCCAATATTGACGTATACACCCATAAGTGGAATCCTCGATACTAATCGTATTTTTAGTATTTAAGGCGCTCACATAAAATCCCGTAGGCTTACAATAGTCGATCAGTTTGATCCATATTAATGACAGATATTTAAAAACTATGATAACAAATCTATACTATGCTCATTGCATATGGAGTATATAATAGGTGCAAACAGATGGCAAACTAGGATACTGAGTGAGGTGTAACAAATTGAGGGTAACAGTTTGATAGTTATCGTGGAAATATGAATTGTTGTGAAAAGTTGACTGAAATTGATGCAATACTTCATTGAGAATAAAAACTTGGTATCAATATTACTATATTATTATTTTCCCTTTGGATTCCTAGTGGAACATACGGCTTCAGTTGCATGTCACCAGCACACTCGCTTCTCTGCAATATTTTCGACCTGGCTCCACCACTGACCACAACATCTCACTTCTCCCTCACACCATCTCCCCAATGTCACAATCGACTCCGACGACCATCTCGTCGTTTCCCATCTGGGTTCCACTCAAGTGTCTGACATGGTCTGAAGCACGATGTCTCCGAATGGTCTTCTCAGTGCATTCCCAATCCAATCCAATCCAATCCATCTCCACTTCCCTCTGCTGCATATTTATTGAGTGATAGATTATTGGTTGGTTCGTTGCTAGCCAGTCAGTGTTAATTCCTTGTTGTTCATTCTTATTATTCTATCCATCTGATCTTCAGTGTCAGTAACGAGTTAGTGAGGGTGGCAGTTGTTGACGAATATCTGTATTTTGTTGGAAATGCCTTCCATAACTCGCCAAATCTCTCAACCATCACATGGCATCACTGATTTGACTGGATTGGTATTGAAAATCCGGATGTTGTTCAATCTTCATACTGAGTGCCGAAGATCTCCACACTGGTTACAGGTTATGGTATCGATATAGCGAGAACTAATATTCAGTCCAAAATTTTGACTCCAATTTCCTGCTGACTTCCAATTTCAAGGCCAGTCTTCAAATCTGCACGCGTTCCAACACAAATCGTTTGGATTGGTTGCTTCATTGAGCAGGAGACCTACAAGCCACGTATGCACATGAAGACGAACTCATGAACGAAAGTACGCTGTCGATGCCTCTTCGAAATTACCTGTTAATCCTTCCAGCTTTCAAACTTCAATGCATCTATATTCACTGGTTTAACGGTTTGTCGATGGTATTCACCTTCTGGGGCAGACACGTAATCGACGCACCTCAATGAAGTCTCTAAAACCTTGCAGATTTAAGGGCACTTCAACATCCCAAGAGGACATTTATCTAGGAGGCTTGGCCCATGACCACATGACGCTGACAGATTTACAGCAATGGCTCCTTTCAAGCTAAGTTTAAAGCTGGCGAAATAGGCATTCGGATTGAACTTCTTTTAACTTCTCAGGGTAACACTACTTATGAATCTAAGGATTCCTTCAACAACAGTCATTACTGGAGTTAATAAAATTGGATTCACCTTACTATTCAGCTGCAAACTCCAAGCGAACTGGGTAGAATTCTAACGGCCTACAAGACCTCGATACCTTGGACACTTACGCCAGTGACGTTGACCATACAGATCTCGTCTAAAGCTGTTTTCTATAAGTCAGCTTGTTATTTTACTAGGGTGTACACAGAGGAGTCACGGAAAGGGTGAGTGCTGCATGTGAATAGACTCAGCCCATTATCCATGGCTCACAATACATCTCCAAACGTACGCTACACCAAGAAACTTATAGTCCACTCCAGCCAAGTGAAAAAGTCGGTAATCAAGTAGAAAATACTTGGTAACTTACTAGGTGTAGAGTTGCGAAACAGACAAACTGGACAGTGAAATTTCTACAATAGTTTGCCTATTGGTCAGAATAAATTCAAATTCATTTATTCGACTGTATAGTTACAAAAGTTTTGAAAATCCCTTGAAATCATCCATTAGAAGATTCTACAACATCCGTTTGGTGTCATACCATTGTTAGATGCCCAGTACTTGGATTATCGAGAGCAATAGGTCTTCTATGTACACACTAAGAGAATTGTACGATGTTCTACTCTAAAGCACTATTATTCAATAGGTTTCTCTAAACTACAACCTCTCCTTACTTGCCTAGGTAACGGGTATGCTGATACAAGCAGTAAGTAAGTAAGTAAGTAAGTTATCTTGATTGTCAGGTGTTTTGAGTTATTACGAAAATTATCACAAGACAAATGACGTTACTGAATGATCTCAATAAACGTTTATGACAACATTATGCTCCATTTTTGCTTTCAATATGACGTTAATTATAGAGTGATGTTGAATGAAGGAATGACGTATGACGTTTGATAATCGTTTGTTGAATATATTTCTTACTCTTCAACTGTTGAAAGGTATTTTTATAACTAAATAATACAGAATGAATTAAACACCTCCAATTTTCCTGTTAATGATAAATATCGACTGGTGAAAGGATCAAGAATGCATGTTTCGTCCCATTTGAAACTTGTTAGCTGAATTAACCTTCATATCTGTCAGTTATTCTATTCCCACAGAGGGTAAATCTCATGCCATTCTGTTTCAATTCTAGGGTATTATGTATTAAGCTGATCACTTTATGACAGCAGCCTCTTGTGCAATGGATATTGCCTGAAATCACAGCTTACAGTTTCTCGCCGCTGTATAGACCGAAGTGGTGAGGTGAGATCTGCTTGAAACAACCTGTGCAGATGCATCCGTTTGATGAGTCTGAGATAGTAGAAAAAACGCAACACAGAATTACCTGCTTGCCAATGTATATCATTAACATTAGACTTGAATTACCGCCAGTATTTAGGTATTCGCTTACGGGCTCCCACACATCAGTAGTCGACCAGTCCTGTGAATATGTCGTATAGTAGGCGGAAAAAAAGTAATACATCTGAGGGCAGTGACTTCGGATGCTACTGGAGTATTCAATCTTTAGCGCAGTTAATTTGTTACACCCAGTTAATCAGTTTGTGTCAACATCCAGGCCCCTCGTACAGATGCCTCAAAAAACTGCTAGCAACAAGATCTAGCTAATGCAATCAGTAGTGGCTTGTAGTGAATTTGGGAACAGTCGCCTCATTCCACTTGAAACTTATTAGCTGGATGCGACTGGGTTCCATTTAATACCACTATTCCTGCTGTGACATGTTCTGGCATATATATTATGGTTTGAGGGAATAGGTTGCGTTTACTGATTAATTAAAGTCTCATGCAGACAAACGGTACTTAGAAAGGGTGTAAAAACAAGGTTTACAAGAACTTCTCCAACTTATTATATAATAAAAATATATTTCATTTATTCCTCACCATAGTTACTTTCACACTACAGAATTCTTTGTATGTGCTATTACATCAATTTACCCATCATCATCATCATCATCATCATCATCATCATCATCATCATCATCATCATCATCATCATCATCATCATCATCATCATCATCATCATCATCATCATCATCATCATCATCATCATCATCATCATCATCATCATCATCATCATCATCATCATCATCATCATCATCATCATCATCATCATCATCATCATCATCATCATCATCATCATCATCATCATCATCATCATCATCATCATCATCATCATCATCATCATCATCATCATCATCATCATCATCATCATCATCATCATCATCATCATCATCATCATCATCATCATCATCATCATCATCATCATCATCATCATCATCATCATCATCATCATCATCATCATCATCATCATCATCATCATCATCATCATCATCATCATCATCATCATCATCATCATCATCATCATCATCATCATCATCATCATCATCATCATCATCATCATCATCATCATCATCATCATCATCATCATCATCATCATCATCATCATCATCATCATCATCATCATCATCATCATCATCATCATCATCATCATCATCATCATCATCATCATCATCATCATCATCATCATCATCATCATCATCATCATCATCATCATCATCATCATCATCATCATCATCATCATCATCATCATCATCATCATCATCATCATCATCATCATCATCATCATCATCATCATCATCATCATCATCATCATCATCATCATCATCATCATCATCATCATCATCATCATCATCATCATCATCATCATCATCATCATCATCATCATCATCATCATCATCATCATCATCATCATCATCATCATCATCATCATCATCATCATCATCATCATCATCATCATCATCATCATCATCATCATCATCATCATCATCATCATCATCATCATCATCATCATCATCATCATCATCATCATCATCATCATCATCATCATCATCATCATCATCATCATCATCATCATCATCATCATCATCATCATCATCATCATCATCATCATCATCATCATCATCATCATCATCATCATCATCATCATCATCATCATCATCATCATCATCATCATCATCATCATCATCATCATCATCATCATCATCATCATCATCATCATCATCATCATCATCATCATCATCATCATCATCATCATCATCATCATCATCATCATCATCATCATCATCATCATCATCATCATCATCATCATCATCATCATCATCATCATCATCATCATCATCATCATCATCATCATCATCATCATCATCATCATCATCATCATCATCATCATCATCATCATCATCATCATCATCATCATCATCATCATCATCATCATCATCATCATCATCATCATCATCATCATCATCATCATCATCATCATCATCATCATCATCATCATCATCATCATCATCATCATCATCATCATCATCATCATCATCATCATCATCATCATCATCATCATCATCATCATCATCATCATCATCATCATCATCATCATCATCATCATCATCATCATCATCATCATCATCATCATCATCATCATCATCATCATCATCATCATCATCATCATCATCATCATCATCATCATCATCATCATCATCATCATCATCATCATCATCATCATCATCATCATCATCATCATCATCATCATCATCATCATCATCATCATCATCATCATCATCATCATCATCATCATCATCATCATCATCATCATCATCATCATCATCATCATCATCATCATCATCATCATCATCATCATCATCATCATCATCATCATCATCATCATCATCATCATCATCATCATCATCATCATCATCATCATCATCATCATCATCATCATCATCATCATCATCATCATCATCATCATCATCATCATCATCATCATCATCATCATCATCATCATCATCATCATCATCATCATCATCATCATCATCATCATCATCATCATCATCATCATCATCATCATCATCATCATCATCATCATCATCATCATCATCATCATCATCATCATCATCATCATCATCATCATCATCATCATCATCATCATCATCATCATCATCATCATCATCATCATCATCATCATCATCATCATCATCATCATCATCATCATCATCATCATCATCATCATCATCATCATCATCATCATCATCATCATCATCATCATCATCATCATCATCATCATCATCATCATCATCATCATCATCATCATCATCATCATCATCATCATCATCATCATCATCATCATCATCATCATCATCATCATCATCATCATCATCATCATCATCATCATCATCATCATCATCATCATCATCATCATCATCATCATCATCATCATCATCATCATCATCATCATCATCATCATCATCATCATCATCATCATCATCATCATCATCATCATCATCATCATCATCATCATCATCATCATCATCATCATCATCATCATCATCATCATCATCATCATCATCATCATCATCATCATCATCATCATCATCATCATCATCATCATCATCATCATCATCATCATCATCATCATCATCATCATCATCATCATCATCATCATCATCATCATCATCATCATCATCATCATCATCATCATCATCATCATCATCATCATCATCATCATCATCATCATCATCATCATCATCATCATCATCATCATCATCATCATCATCATCATCATCATCATCATCATCATCATCATCATCATCATCATCATCATCATCATCATCATCATCATCATCATCATCATCATCATCATCATCATCATCATCATCATCATCATCATCATCATCATCATCATCATCATCATCATCATCATCATCATCATCATCATCATCATCATCATCATCATCATCATCATCATCATCATCATCATCATCATCATCATCATCATCATCATCATCATCATCATCATCATCATCATCATCATCATCATCATCATCATCATCATCATCATCATCATCATCATCATCATCATCATCATCATCATCATCATCATCATCATCATCATCATCATCATCATCATCATCATCATCATCATCATCATCATCATCATCATCATCATCATCATCATCATCATCATCATCATCATCATCATCATCATCATCATCATCATCATCATCATCATCATCATCATCATCATCATCATCATCATCATCATCATCATCATCATCATCATCATCATCATCATCATCATCATCATCATCATCATCATCATCATCATCATCATCATCATCATCATCATCATCATCATCATCATCATCATCATCATCATCATCATCATCATCATCATCATCATCATCATCATCATCATCATCATCATCATCATCATCATCATCATCATCATCATCATCATCATCATCATCATCATCATCATCATCATCATCATCATCATCATCATCATCATCATCATCATCATCATCATCATCATCATCATCATCATCATCATCATCATCATCATCATCATCATCATCATCATCATCATCATCATCATCATCATCATCATCATCATCATCATCATCATCATCATCATCATCATCATCATCATCATCATCATCATCATCATCATCATCATCATCATCATCATCATCATCATCATCATCATCATCATCATCATCATCATCATCATCATCATCATCATCATCATCATCATCATCATCATCATCATCATCATCATCATCATCATCATCATCATCATCATCATCATCATCATCATCATCATCATCATCATCATCATCATCATCATCATCATCATCATCATCATCATCATCATCATCATCTCATCATCATCATCATCATCATCATCATCATCATCATCATCATCATCATCATCATCATCATCATCATCATCATCATCATCATCATCATCATCATCATCATCATCATCATCATCATCATCATCATCATCATCATCATCATCATCATCATCATCATCATCATCATCATCATCATCATCATCATCATCATCATCATCATCATCATCATCATCATCATCATCATCATCATCATCATCATCATCATCATCATCATCATCATCATCATCATCATCATCATCATCATCATCATCATCATCATCATCATCATCATCATCATCATCATCATCATCATCATCATCATCATCATCATCATCATCATCATCATCATCATCATCATCATCATCATCATCATCATCATCATCATCATCATCATCATCATCATCATCATCATCATCATCATCATCATCATCATCATCATCATCATCATCATCATCATCATCATCATCATCATCATCATCATCATCATCATCATCATCATCATCATCATCATCATCATCATCATCATCATCATCATCATCATCATCATCATCATCATCATCATCATCATCATCATCATCATCATCATCATCATCATCATCATCATCATCATCATCATCATCATCATCATCATCATCATCATCATCATCATCATCATCATCATCATCATCATCATCATCATCATCATCATCATCATCATCATCATCATCATTCATTCATTCATTTATTCATTCATTCATTCATTCATTCTTTCATTCATTCATTCATTCATTCATTCATTCATTCCTTCAATCAATCACTCGTTCATTCCTTCATTCAGTCATTCCTTGGGTTCCTAATGGAACATACGGCCTCTCGAGCACGTCTCCAGTGCTTTCTCTTCTCTGCAAACATTTGTACCTTATCCCACAATCTCTCATTTCTTCCTCACACCATCTCCTCAATGTCACACCCACCTCGAACGACAAACTCGTCGTTTCACACTCGGGTTCCACTCGAGTGCATCGCATGGCACGTGATGTCCACAGTCGGCCTTCTCAGTGTGTGCGCAATCCATCTACACTTCCTTCCAGTGCATGTTTGTTGAGCGATAGGTCGCTGGTTGGTTCGTTTTCAGCCAACCAGAGTTCCTTGTTGCTTATTCTCATTATTCTGTCCATCTGATCTTCAGTAACGAGCCAGCGTAGTCAGTTGTTTATGAATGTCACTAGTTTGTTGGAAATGCCTTCCATAACTCGCCAAGTCTCTCAACCATCACATATAAGCACTCACTGACTTGACTGGTTTGGTGTTGAAAATCCGGATGTTGTTCACGCTTTATGCTGAGTTCAGAAGATCTTCACACTGCCTTCAGGCTAATCAATGCAGGCCTGTCTTGCTGTCTTTCCGATCCTGGCTATTTATGAAACTCCCTCATATTTCCGTAATATTGTTTTTCATTGCATGTTATGCAATGGAAAATAATACTACTGATGAACTAAGGATACACTTTGCAGAATTTCAATGGTGTTTAGATCTCTTAGCCTCGAAGATGTGTATAATAAGTTCCCATGTTCTGTCTCCATTTTGTTATGTGTTGTTGAATTCATGTCGTGTTACAAATATTCCAGTTTCATTTAGCTACTTGGGTGTCATACTGACTACCTACATCAGCTCATTAATTGCCACATCTTCAGCTATAGCACTATTCATAGTAGTCACCCATAAGAACTACCCGTGAAGATGTTATCTGTTCAAGTTTTATTGCACTTCATCAGATACTTAGGATCTGGTCGAAATCTATGCTTCAGTCAGGATAATAGGTAATTGTAATCCAGCAGTTCACTATTGTGACACTAAACATTATTTGTTAATTTTCTTATTACAAGCATTTGTATCCTCACTCTCACTGAGCTTCCGATTGTGAATCAGCTGTTAATAAGAAATTCTACATTCAGGACTTGTCTGATTTGTTTACAAGTTCAAAACGCGTTATACAATCGTAAAGATGATTAGGTTTTGAAAAGAATCAACCATGTGAACACTTAGATCATATATAAGTGCCTCAACTTATCAGAACTTACTGGTAAAAAACAGATGAGAAAACAAACTCGTTGGGATGTCTGTGCGTTGAACAAGTCATTTATACGTCGGCAAGCTAATTGCACCCTTCCTAGTGTGCAAAATCAAGTGGATAGCTGCTTTCCACATTTCAATACAAATGATGTATTTAAATGTCTAAAGTCTTTGAATCCCTCTCCAAGTTTAGGTCCTGATGGTGTTTCTAGTATCATATTTAGAAAATGTGCAGATATTTTATGTCAGCCACTTACAGATATTGTCAATCTATTGTTCTCTGAAAACATAATACCCACTGTTTGGAAGTAGATAAAAATTGTATCTGTGCCTCAGCCATCTTCTGGATCAGATGTTACTCTTCGACCCATTGCTAGAACTTCCCCTATTCTAAAGACAATGGAGAAATCACTTCTTCTTGTGATTGAGCCTTCATTGATGGCCTTCATAGATCCAAAACAGTTTGCTTACAAACATCGGAGGAGTACTTTACATACAGCTACTGTCTTGCATCATTATATTGTTTATAGTCTCGACAAAGGTGTTAAGTATATCCGTTGTGCCTTTTTGGATTACTCATCAGCCTTTGACTCTGTTCATAGACCACTTTTGTCAAATAAAATTGCCATAGCTCACACTGAGTCATAGGTTACAAAATGGCTGCATTCTTATTTTGCTGAAAGGAAACAGTACACTATTCATAAAGGGATGCGTTCCACTTCATTGATTACTGAAGCTGGTGTGCCTCAAGGTGCTGTACTTTCTCCTTTTCTGTTTCCCTTTTGTTGCACGATTTGTCTTATTCTGTTGAAACTAATTTTATCAAGTATGCTGATGACCTGACGATTTCTATTTCAGTAAACTCTTCTTCGGATTGCTCTAAATTAAATGAATTCTTATCTGAAGTTGTCAAATGGTCTCAAACTATAAACCCCTCAAAGTATCAGACTCTTAATTTTAGCCTCAGGCTTGAACAAGACAGACTTTTGTGAGCTGCTTAAGTCTCCTGATGCCTGTTGCACCACTAATGGTATTTCTGCAGAAAGTAAATCGAGTGTTTACTATCTTGGATTGGGTTTTACTTCTTATCTCCGTTGGTCGTCTTATATCTGAATGACTTCTCAGAAAACCTGTCGTTTAGCGTATCACACAAAGAAATTCAGGCTTTCTGGTATAACTCAACTGCTTCTTTTACAATTTATTAATTCCTGTATTCTACCTATTCTTCTATATTGTTGTCCATTAATCTTCCCTGGTCTTCTTAAATAGGACTATGTTATGTTGCGTAGGGCTTTGAAGGCTGTCAGCAGGGTGAGTGATGCCACTCTGGCTCAATTGATTAACACCGCAGTTGATCGACACATAAATTCCTGCAAGCAACTACCTACAGACATTTTAACTGACAATGAGCATCCATTTCATTCACAGCTGTCTCCATGTATCTCCTCAGAGAGGACAAGGAGAAACTACATAAGACTGTATGCTCGTACAACTGAGTATATGAATTCAACTGTACCCTTTACCTAGCAAGCATATCTTGTGAGGGGAAATGTGTTACAACAGAAATCACACATCAACTTTGTAACAGTTAAAAATCTCATTTCAATAATTCAACTTTCAATGCAAAATTTTCTCGATTTTAATATTCTTCACATAACTTAGATTTTTATAATGAAACAATTCGAAAGGCTGTAAAGTAGTATGTATATACAGATATATTTTGTTGTTATTGCAATATATATTATGCTGAGAATTCCAAATTGTACCACAAATTCTTTGGAATAAAGTGAACTATTATTTTTATTATTATTATTAGATAACGACTCAAATCTAACATTCTCAGGATTTTACACATACTTCGACTTTGTTTACTTTGATGACCGGATAACGGGTAGTACACACTTTGGAACAGCAGTAAACTTTATGAACAAGATGCCAGCAAAAAAAGTAAAGGCTAAGCTGAAGAAAGATCAATGACTTTTTAAGGATTCGAAGAGGAGATAGGAAGCGAGCGAACACTTAAATATTGCAGCAATACGCTGTTGATTATGTATAATCAGTTTCTAACTCGTCTTCAATATACTAAAACGCTTTCACATTCATAACATTGAATAACGGAGTAGACAATAGCAAAATGTTCATTGTCAACTAGGATATAGGTAATTCTACACACTTATTGACAACTTGGAGACTAATATGATGAGGTGTGGCTGAATATCTGTAATCCGTATAAGAGTATATTACAGGTCTTTACGAACCCTCGAAAATCTATACTTCGCCATAAGTAGCTGATATGATTACAAGAAATGCATAGCTTAACACATCGCATGACATACCGACTAACTGCTTTCTTCCTTGACTGAAAATAATGATAAACTGCGCTGCGAATATATTTTGAAGTTTATGTTCTAACCATATCATCAAATGAGGAACGAATCATGCTTGATATTATCATACTGTCTCTTATTGTTATTTTACTCCTACATCAAATTGTCAATAATGTAAATTATCAATGCTCGTTGTTAGCTCACCTCGAATATTGAATTGAATGGTGACTGTAATACAGTCAGGTGACACGAAAGAGATCCCTTGCTATATGAATTGTGTGATCTTTACATGGATCTTTTCTATTTACCTACATCAAAGGAAGTAGCCTCTTTCATCTATCTAGGCGGCACTGTTTCAACCACAGGTGGTGGCGGCACAGACGAGGACGTCAAGCCTAGCCAGGATCGGAAAGATAACAAGAAAGGCTTTCATTAATCTGAAATCAGTGTGGAGATCTACTGCACTCAGCACAAAGCCTGAACAACATCCGCATTTTGTACACCAATGTCAAGTCAGTGCTTCTGTATCGTTCAGAGACGTGGTGCGTTACGAAAGACATTCCCAACAAACTACAGACATTCATCAACGGCTGCCTACACTGGCTCGTTGCTGACAGTGAAGATCAGATGGCCAGAATAATACGTATAAGCAACAAGGAACTAACACTGGTTGGCAGCAAATCAATCAAGAAGCTATCGCTCAACAAATATGCACAAGTAGGGAAGTGTAGATGGATTGGATTGGGCGTACACTGAGAACAGCATTAGGGGACATCACGAGTCAGGCCAAGCCAGGTACTGAAATGAAACGCAGATGAGAAACGATGAGTTGGGCGTCCGAAGCGATGGTGACATGGAGGAGATGGTGCGAAGAAGAAATGAGAGCTAATGGGCTGTCTTGGACCGAGGTTAAAAGTTTGCAGAGAAGAGAGTGGAATGGTGACGTGCTGCTGAAGCCCTATTTTCGTCTAGGAAACCAAGGGATAAATAGTAATAATCTCATAATTTATTAACGTCGAAGCATAGTTTAGACTAATTTGACACTCTTATTCTCTTTGACCTTTTCTGCGTCACCCAACAGTTAAGTGTTGAACTACTACAGCTTCATTTCATACTCCTGATATTCACTAACCTGTCAAAATATATGCTAGCATTATTCACAACTGATTTCTACATACGAATCACGAATCTAACTACCACATGATTGTTTCTCTCTCAACAATTCAATGTGTTTCTTTTACGTGTATCAACATACTTCTGATACATTTCATTGCTGCTTACATAGGTGATCACTTATTCTGATTCGATGAAATCTGTTTGATACAACTACGTCTACAATTAAATACAAGCCCAACCATATTCTCCCACATTGACATCAGATCCAACTTCACTATTATACGAGTATGGGAATACCTGGAAGTCATCTGCATTTATGAAATGTTCACCGAATAATTCTTCCTTCATTATCAATGTGTTAGAATTGTGTTGGGACACTGACGTCTACCAACCACCGATTGCATTAGTGGAGAATATCTGTAGTTCAGGTGGATGGTCTTGGTTGTGTTGTGTTCTCTCAGCTGGCTTGTTTAATTCTGAAGCTTTCCTCGTCCTCCTAGATGACAATATCAGCATCACGACAAGATTACTGAGACCACTTGCAGATGGTGTGACTCATAAACCATCAAACTCCCTGCAAACACTATTTATTATGCAGACCAAAGCATGAAACAACCAAAGAAGACAAAGAGAATATCATTTGCAAAATCAACCGCAATAACTAACTACAGTCAAGACTACATTGGACAGAGAGTGGTCGCCTTCTTCGCCTTCGTCATTCACATAAACACCAACTGGCTAACAAACTTCACATGACATTTCATCACTCATTTCAATGCACGTGGATAACAAGGATGCTCATGAATTCCATTTGGACAATGTAGACAATTTGGACGGAGAGAGAAACACAAAGAATATCAGAGAATTCCTACAAGCTTCATATTGAAGTCGGTCAGTCAGTCAGCAACCAACAGATGTATAGATATAGACGCAATTTATCAACTAATGGGAAGAATGATAAACGACAGAAAGGTCAGATGTCAAGTAGAGGAACAGCTAACAGGAAAGTCTGTGCAGTCAGTCAATGACACAACAATCGAAGCAGACAACCAATCACAGACCACATCGTCACAGCAAGCCACTAAATCACTCTCGGAGACATGTTGATAGCTTACATTATACTGAAGCTAGTGTTGCTGATGTCGGTGTTTAGCAAGACGATGAAAGCTTCACGATTAAACAACCCAGCTCCATACACAACAAAACACAACCAATTTACCATCACTTCACAAAATTCTACACATATTTTCCCTCATTCCCATTATCGAACCTTATGAACGAGGCATCATTACTCCTCACCAACCCACTATCCATTCTTCACCATGTTAAACATGTGCAGATCTGTGTGTGCTGCACTCACAGTTATCTCATTCAATGTTTTTCTCACTATCTGCTTCACATCACTGCTTACCACCTCCTCGATTATCATTCTACTCGAGGCACTACCACACCTACAGTAACCATTCAATATGGTGTAACAGTGAAGATGTAGTATGAAGATGCATAATGTTCCATTTTAATTGAGGCGAAAATGGTGCTTCCATCAGGATATTCACCATAATACATTCATTGATATTTATAGAATTGTGGATGAATGAAATTCAGTGAGTGAGAACAAGTCGTATCTACTCAAGCGTTTCAGTATTATAACACCAAATGATATTTGTTAAAGTTACCAATGAAAGCATTCAGATTCCGTCTAGCACATAAACACATATTTGTTATTCAAAAAGTCAGTATAATATGGTTGAGAAATTCCGGTATATAATTTTACTGCAAATATTATGTCTATCATTCAGCCATATGAAACACTGAGTTATAGAGAAACACAGCCACAATTCCTCAAGCCATAATAGATATGTAATGAACAGAACAACGGGGAATGTTTGATCGAAACGTCCAAATCTCAGGATTTTGATGGTGATGAAGATGATCTGGAAATTGAAGAAGAAAATCTCATTGTCAATAGTATGACACGTTTGGTAATGTAGAGCAAAGTTCATTGAATGCATCACCTCACTGAATCTGGTGTGCGATTGCGTTTTAATGTCTAACCGACACAGACTGCATGTTCTACATCTATTCAACTATGTGTCTGTTAGTGAGTATGTGTGGTAAGGTAATATTTAACACCCGTGCGAACACGGGCTCACATTCCATTCATGAAGAGGACACAAGCAGTGTAATTCTAATCTCGCCTCATCTTCAAGTCTATGAAAGAAAATGTCCTGAATCACTGTGGAGAAAGTGTGTGAGCTTGTGAATTCAAGACATTACATATACAGTTGTTGCACTGCACAACCCCAGGTAACTCATGGATAATGTGGACTACTCCTCGTTTAAGTAGAAGTGGCTAAATGAGAACATGATTTCCATGTCTGTAGTCTCCTAGTTCCCCCCTCCAATTGACTGTGGGAAATGAGAATTGAAGGAGACTATGTTGTTGAAATTAACACAAATGACGCCACATAGAGCTGCCCTAACATAAACTCTTCACGTGAATAACTGGGATACCGTAATGGTTTTCAAAGCGTTGAGCTCCACCATGTCACACGGTGGACGTCCTCGTCTGTGCCGCTGCCACATGTAGTTGAAACGATGCTGTCTAGGTGATTGGTAAAAGAGGCTACTTCCTGCAAGTTTCTCCCGCTGATGATGGTTGCAGCTTGTTGTCGTTGTTGTTGGTTGGTTGTTTCTTTATCTTCATCACCTGTGTCTTCTCTACATTCACTTGAAGTCCCATCTTCGCTGCCTTGTCTCTTCTGTCAACTAGTTGGTTTCTGCATGTAGATCTTCGAGTTTGTGCGGCAAGACATCACACATGAATCATCATCGGAGATATTCGAATCTTCTATGGTCTTTCCATTTGTCAAACAGCGTATGCCCCTCTTCTTGCTCCTTACAGTTATCAGTAGCCTGATCCAGTCAAGTCCAGTGCAGTGCAGTGCAGTGCAGTGCAGTGCAGTGCGGTGGGGTGCAGTCGACCACAATCAGGAAGATGACCGGTGATGATAGTAGGTGGCAACCTTGTCTTACTCCTGTTCTCACTCAAAAGACGTCACTGAGCCTCCCATTTTGAATCACTTGGCATGTGGCACCATATAACACTGCATATAGCAGCTGAATGACGTTGATCAAGGTTTGTGGCACTCAAACCGTAGTGTTGAAGCGGCTGCCTGCCAAATTACTTCTCAGTCGACGCTGTCGAGGGCCTTTTCAAAATCGATCAAGTTCAGGTAGAGTTGAGTTGAGTTGACTGGCATTATACACTCTGTTCCATGATAATCCGCAGTGGTTGTCGTCGGAGTGACAATATCCGAGTAGATTGTTGACTGTCCAGTTAAGAGTTTGGAGAGTCGTGTTCCATTCCATCTGTTCTCACAGATTCCAAGCACTTCCATGCACACCTCTTCATCTCTTTTGCAATCTGGGCAGGCTTGCCAGCCAGCTTCAAACATTGTGGGCACATTCCATATCCCCATATTTACTTTCACTTTCATCGAGAGGGAGAAGACATGTCGGTTAATTAGCTCTCCGAAGGCTTTCACCGACCGGGGTCATTTCGTCTCCCTGATTAAAACGTGGAATAAGCTTGTTTTTATTTTTTATATTTTCTTTGTGCTTTGAAGTTTCTTTAGTGATTGGATTGGTTTTACGAGGTAGTGTCGTTAGTTAGCCCTATGCCAAATCTTCCCTCTTTATCCGGGATTGGGACAGACTGGTAACTGGTGAACTAGTTAACCAGGTGTGCTTTTCACTCTGTCTACCTTTTGAATATTTGTGGACAAAATCTTGAGGGTATCCATTTCTAGCTTAGATATGGTTGAGTGTTTTCATTTCATAATCAATGGTACTCTCACAGCAAAATTTTCCATGCTCTATCATAAAGGCTTTTGATTAAGTTCTATTGAAGTGGAGATATTGTCCAGACCATAAAGGCTTTCTGTAGATGGATCCTCCTATAGATCCATGCTTCGTTTTTACTAAGGAAACACTTAAGATCTTGATATGATAATTTTCTTCGTGTTCACCTGTGAATTTGAGGTTTATGTGACAAGATTTAAAGTTGTTCAGCAGGGTGTCTGCTGCCACCTTACTTTTACATACAATAAAAAAAACATCATATATGTACCGCTAGCACAGTTCCATGCGTTCTAACAATTCTTTTGGTTACTACCCTCCAGACCTCAGGGAAATAAGTCAAGTCAATAAATGGAGATTTACTTTGCTTTGTGGACTGTACTGTGGGCTGGATCTTCCAACAAACGGTGTGTAGCGAGAAGAGGTGGATACGCTGGCTGGACCACGGAGAACATCCTATAAGATTTTGATTTCGCCGATAGCTTATGTCTAATTTCACAGAAACTTGAAGATGTAAAGGCGAAAACCAACTAGTTGAGAGAAGAGGCAGGGCAGGCAAGGCAGACGGGACTTCAAGTGAATATAGAGAAGACACAGGTGATGAAGATAACCAACCAACCAACCAACAACAACGACAACAAGCTCCTACCACCATCAACAGGAGAAACTTGCAGGAAGTAGCCTCTTTCACCAACCATCTAGGTAGCATCGGTTCAACTACATGTGGCAGCGGCACAGACGAGGACGTCGAAGCCAGACAGGATCGGAAAGACAGCAAGACAGGCCTGCGTTTATTAACCTGAAATAATCACTGTAGAGATCTACTGCACTCAGCATAAAGTATGAAAAACCTCCGGATTTTCAACACCAATTCAGTCAAGTCAGTGATTCTATGTGATGGTCCAGAAGTTAAGCCTCCCAGCTGAGGGTGACACGGATGAGGTGGTGTGAGGAAGAAATGAAGGTTTGTGGGTTGTCGTGGAGCTAGGTTCAAAGTTTGCAGAGAAGAGAGTGCACTGGAGACGTGCTCTTGAAGCCGTATATTCCACTAGGAACCCAAGTGATAAATACTAATTATAATACTAATTATATAATATTGATTGTAATTTTATTGATGATAATAATTCTCTTTTGTGTCAATTGGGAAATGGCAGTGCGGGAATGAAAATGAAGGGAAACAATCATCTATAGTAATCTTTGAAAATCGTCCCGATATTTCATTATTCCATCTGAATTCGTTCACCGAATGCATTGGTATTAAGATAGCAGCTTGTACAGTAAAACTGTCATCTAATTGTTGGATTGAAGTATGAATTGACTCGACTATTGACAACAGAGTATTCCTCTAATACTGTTTAATTCTCAAATAAAGTGACATAGGTCTGCATGATGTAGATTTCAAGTGGATATAACCAAAAAGGAACTAATTGATCCAGTCGAGAACAACAAAACCATTTACAAGTGCAGAACCAATTGTTAGCTGAGACATTGTCTTAGGTAGTAACAAATGTAATTGCAACTGGTGTAATTTGTAAATGCAGGGTGTTTACTACATATCCACGCTTTCAGGTTATTTTGAAATATGATGGTGATATAAACTCATAGACAACTTACTCAAATGATTCGATGTATTCAGCGCTACTGTGAATAACAGCAGTTGAAAGCCTATCACTGTTAGTTTTCGCCAACAAGTCAATTGAAGAAGTTGTCATGATACCGGATGATGATTATCCTCACTTGTGGAAATAGTGATAAGATGAATACAAATTAGAAGTATAGTGAGAAGCGCTAAAGTGATAGTTCAAACGGCTGATTCATTCGTCTTCCAATCTTCCTGCAAACGATATAGCAAAGGAATCATCACATGGGTGGGAACTCTGTCATTTGGAAATTTGAATCCACCCTCCATATATCTATCACTGGAGATCAGACCGTCGCACATTCACTCTTACAGTTTGGAATTCATTGCAAAAATGCTGCCAAAAATGAACACAATTATGTAACACTCTTCTCAACCACCCATCATGAATCCCATCTGAGTGTATGATAGTCAGGATGCTCCTGCTCAACATTCATATGTATGTGAATAGATAAAAAGATGTCACACTTGATAAATTCAGTCGACTGTTTTGTTGATTGAGAAAAAACTGGTTGACGGTTTAAAGTCCACTTGTAAAATTAGTCGATATTACATCTACTCTTTCCACTCTATATTTAAACTTGTCGACTACTTGTGTTTGTTCATTTGTGAAGAAGAGTGAAGGAATTCGTGTGAGTTTATGTTTCTTGCTTATTTCATCGGTTTCATTGTTCAGGTGTGTGATTCAATCATTCAGGTATTCACAGTGTGTACATTCAGGAATTATACGCATTGCAGTCAAGCAGGAAACCTTTCCACTCGCTGCCACAATCATCCTCCATGCACACATTACTAGCCATCAACTACTCCTATTGTACAACTAACAATTACATGTAGTATTTTCCACTTGCTCATAACACACACACTATTCAACATCATATTTCTCAGTGTAAAATTAACGCGAACGTTTATTCTAAATTTGCCAACCTCGTTCGTTCATCCATCTCAGTCACGATGTAGTCAACAATGACAACTATGTCAACATGTATAGACATTTTAAGATTTCAGGTTGATGTTGTTCTACTCTCTCAATTGTTTGATGTCTGAGTAAGTAGATAGGTTGTGAAGACTGTCTTCACTTTGTGAAAGGCCTGAGATGCACTGTGAAAATCTAGCGAACTGGTGAATGGTAATCTGTGAATGATGAACGTTATCAGGTGTAGTATTTATTAGACACTGTTTGTATGTGGAACAATTACCACTCGCATTGGCTAATACATCCACTACATTTCGATGGTGTGCATTCCACTGACCTTAAGCAGAAAGTCTCTGAAACATGTTACTGCTCTTTGTTCAGTACTCACCTTGTTTTCTCCCATGAAGCTGCACAGAATATGTTGATGATTGGTTTAGAATGTTTGTGTTCAGGTGATGACAATTACAAGTCTGATGTTGTATGTTTAATAATTATAGATATGATTATGTAATGAAATGTTTAGTTGATTCCATTTCCCCTCTGCACACTTGACTTTCCATTCATCAGGGGTGCAAACATAACACACACAAGATCTCCTACAGACGAAATAAACAGACACACCTACAATTATCATATCGATGTTGATGCAAGTAAGCAAGTTACTTTCACCAATTTCTGTTGACTTTCAGTTGTTTTCAATGAATGAAATGTGGATGTTTGTCAGGGATTTTGTCGACACCAATGACAGTTTAGAGAGGTAATCATGCACAATACTGTTTTCCTAATCTCACTTCACTTTATCACACTGCGAACAGTCAAAAGACAAAATACACCGACGTGATTGTAATAGCGTCATGTATGTAAGTTAATTTCGTATTGATCTGTGTTGACAAACTCTACTGAGTCATTTTATTCACAAATAATAATAATAATAATAATAATAATGATTAATGAAGGTTGAGATGGACAACGAGTGATTCGAATGATACAAGGTATATATTGATCATGTGCTCCCGACTCTAATCTTAATATTCTACTGGGAATGTTGATGCCTCACTGTGTACTGTGTTGATTGAACTAGTCTAGATGGGAATTGGAGAATAGAGACATTTTGATCATTCGCATAGATTAAGTGCTGAATTGGTCACTCCACAGTATTAGGCGATCAAGACAGTTCTCGAATATTCACAATATTTGTCAGCGTTTTTCTCAGTTGAACAACATGCATGTGTTAGGTGCATCATGTTGAGGTGACTATTTTGAATTGATTATCCATGATCTGAGTAGTTGATACTTTGTAGGAGAAATAAATGGTGAACATCACGATAAAGGAGATGTGAAGAGATAGACATGAAGAGTACACAGAGTGAATGATGACAACCTGTGTAATACTACCTAGACAGACAATATTTCACTTAGACATACATGCGTGATGATAGTTCACCTCACAATATTCACTTCACTATCAGACTTCCAAAATGCCTTTGCAAAATGCATTCTCCCCATCTCGTTACACATTATGGTTAGCCTGACTGATGGAAGGTGAATTTCTTCATTTGGTTTCAGATTATTGGCTTATATCATAGATATTCTGTTGATTTTCGTGTCGAAACTACGGAATAGCTTTCCTGCCAATCTTCTCCTCATCTTATTAGCAGTAAGTTTACACATTTACCTCAAAACAAATTGATTATATATTAACTGACAGTAATAATTTCGGTTTTGTGTCATTGACAAGCAGATTGTTCAAGATAGAGATGATCATTGCAGTTGACTACGGGAGCACAGTGAGAGATGCAACTAACCGACTGTCCAGTTTGAAATTGCTATCTCAGTAGTGCGAAATGAAGGTAGTAGAGTGACATGGTATTCCTCATTCTCAGTCGTCACGAATCAATGCAATGGGGAAATGTTTCATCACAAAAATATTTCTCATGTTGAAATTGAGGTGAAACAATGTTCTTAGTGAGTTCCTTGTGCATGATATCTACTCGGTAATCGGGGTGAATACAGACAACGATTTTTCCAGTCTGATTTTCACCATCATCAATGTACTTACTTAGGAGAAGATGCTTAAGATTTGGGATAACCAACTTGTATTGACTTGTTGTTTCCGTTAGTGAAAAGCGGTATGAAATCTCTACTGATAATCTGGCCAAACTACACGCAGCACGCTTTTGCTAAACCCATGGTATGTTAAGGTTGCAGTGACCTCAAGGTTAACAGAGCAGCATAGAAAGTTGAAACACACTGTTCTCACATTCACTCTACTTCACAAAATTGAGAGAAGATAGAGGAGTCACTCAAGCTCATCATGAAGTTGGTTGAAATTGAACTGATACAACATTGCAAAACTTGCTTCTTGTCCTGACAACCCACACACTTCAATAGTTTATCGCTGTTGTTGGCTATTAGAAACGAGGTTTTGTTACTCTCTATGTAATGTGTATTCCTTGTGTTACCCCAAGCAATCTGAGGTGATTTAGTTCCCTCAGAAGTTATCATAGTCAGCATATGTGTTGATTGCTACATGCTAGTTCTTATCGTCTCTTTATGGATACCATTTATTAAGAGAATATAGATATAGCAGATAAACCAGTATAGGAAACAAGAATATCAGACAAGAATCCTGTTGTAGCGATTCTGTTCTCAACAGTTGTACATGTAGCATAGTGAACCAGTGGAAATTTTGAATGTCTGTGAGTGTGTAACAAACAGTAATTATGAAAGCCGTCGTAGAACTTACGCTGGTGTGCTTCAATATGGAGTTTTGACGACACTTGTAGTGACTCATCTCACAGTCATCTACACAAATTCTGAACAATCTTTCACTTCCTTTCAGTATCTCAAACTGCAATCATTCATACCACTATAAGTGAGCAGTAGTTATCTTGTGTCAAACAGTCAGTCAGTCAGTCAGTCAGTCAGTCAGTCAGTCAGTCAGTCAGTCAGTCAGTCATCTTTTGTGGATAATTCATGTTTGATGAACTACATTCTTGTTATGTTTATTGACTTACAGGTTATTTCATTCTCTGCTGGTACAGCAATAATATTAGCTAAACTGATATGGCAATTCGCTACCGTTATACTTTCACGACAACTGTGATATTCATGATAACAGTGATTGCATGTCTCTTATTGAAGAATCTGAGCAATGAAAAAAAGAAGGTAGTCATGTGGATAATGGTCGGATTGATTGTTGTCGGTGTGATTGCTGCCAGTTTCACACGTCTTCTAGTAAGTTATCTGTATTCATTTCAGTAAGCATAACTTTTACTCTGATATATATGTGAATAATGTTTAGCCATACACATGAATGTATGAGAAGTTAGGTGAACCTATGCAATTCACTTAGTGTGTTATCAGTGATCTTTAGGTGAATCGACGCTGCCGTCATCTGTATTGAATTGATATAGTTGACACGATGTCAATGTTTTCAATGGTTGTTGTATTTTTCTACGAGTATGTGGACAGTGTATGTCACAAATGACACTGGTCTCTGTCTAGGCTTTCCTTATCTACGATAACACACACATTCCTCTTATTCTATCTTGAATAGGCACGATAACTTTCAGGAAGTCAGTCTGCATCCACGTATGTCTCATATTCACATGATGACCAAGTTTGTCATCAAATCTCTTCAACGCTTAGTTGACTGAATGGTATGTGGAAGTGTTAGTGTGAATTAAGTTGAATCAAACTATGCGTTCATGAATATAGGTTTAGGAGAACAGTAAGTCAATTAGTATTGCGTAGGATATCGAAAAGTCATATGAGATTCCCTCACTGTTCAGAATTTCTTATGTCGGATAGATAAGTGTGATGTATTCTAGCATGAAGTTAATTGACTGTTAAGACGTCCGTCCTACTTAGATCTCATGTTATTGGCTATAGAATTAGAAAGATAAGTGAAATAACTGAACTGCATTCACCACACTCGGTGGTTTTGAACCAACTCTCTCTCTCTCTCTCTGGCTTTCATTTATTTGGAATGCTGTGGATGGCTGTCTGTTTGTAGGTGGGGACACTTCATCGCCTAATAACGCAGCACCTCCAGGCTCACAAATATATTAAGCCTTCATCTTGCATGCAATTCATCAATCCAGTGGTCTTGTTTGTCAGTTGATGACGTTGTTGTCGGACAATCAAGGAGTATGCTCATTCTCACTCTCCCTAATTATTCTGTTGCTCACACCTACTATAAGCACATGATTATATAGTGTAGGGTAGAATCAGGAGAACATCATTTTGAGTGTTTAGCAGAAAGTTGACTGTTATTCAACTCTACTCAACGTGGCACAGAAATCGAGACTCCTATGCACAGAAATGTCATGCATGCATCCTGTGTTGTGAGAAGAATTTCGTACCTGAAGTGTTCAACTGACTCAACATACAAATAAATGGTTGATGGAATTATTGTTGTGGTAATGAAAGAGGTATTATAACCGGTGAAGTATAATCACTTTCATGTAATTCATCTCTAGGATCTTAACGTCTCTTTTCTGTACTTTCTACAATGATTTGTCCTACAACAACCTCTGTAGAATGAAATACATGGTCAACAGATGAGTGAGAATACTCTTCTCTGTGGAACTTTATATTTTCAACTCTTCTGACGTGAAAAAATACCTAATGTTAACGTTTATTTTTCCCTTTAGCCACAACTGATGAAGGCAGCTGGCGCATGCTGGAGCGTTGCATTAACTATAGTAAGTTTCATAATGAATGAGACTGCTATGATTATATGACTTGTGGAATATGGTTATTCGAGTGTGTGTGTTTGTGGTGTAGTGTACATCTTTTCGTTTCATGCAAGTCAATTCGGGTGTGGACACTTGTGCATTGCAACAACTGCATATGTGATGTGCAGAACACAGAGAATTTTGGCTGAGGAAAATGGTCAGTCTGCCATCGCATTCAGCAGAATGATGCATACAATGAACTTTACTCCACATTATCAAACATTTTGAACTACTGAAAATGAGATTTCCTTCTTCTATTTCAGAGTGTCTTCATCACCATGAAATACCTGAGACTCGATTGTTTCGATAGACCGTTTACTCTTGCATTATTTATGTCATATATAGTATGGTTTGAAGAAATGTTGCTTTGCTTATCAGTTACTTTATGTTTCGTGGACATAAATACTACGCGGAATAATCCCAGTAACAAGGATTACCAAGATATCCTAATCAACCTCTATTGACTCTTCATCTTATGAACGACTATGAGAATCAAAATCTTTGTACTCAGAAAATTAACAAACACTTTCCGATTTCACACAACTAAACTATTTGAGTTGAATAAAAAATGAATTGAATTTGTTCAACAATATCATTTGTTATCATACGATTGAATAAAAATATTCGATTACTGCTTGTTTCCGTTGACTGAACTTCATTCAGTCTTGATTCTATGTACATTATTGAATGTTATTATTATTATTAGTTCCTTGGGTTCCTAGTGGAACATAGGGCTTCAGTAGCACGTCTCCACTGTCCTCTGTTCTCTGAGATCTTTTGAACCTGGTTCCACGACAGCCCAGAAGCTCTCATTTCCTCCTCACACCATCTCCTCCATGTCACCCTCTGGGACGTCCAACTCGTCGCTTCCCATAGGGATTCCACTCGAGCAACTGGCCTGACGCGTGATGTCCTCAGTCGGCCTTCTCAGTGTATGCTCAATCCATCTCCACTTCTTCCTGCATATTTGTTGCGTGATAGGTTCTTGGTTGGTTCGTCACCAGCCAGAGTTCCTTGTTGCTTATTCTTTTCTGGCCATCTGATCTTCAGTAGCGAGCGTAAGCAGTTGTTGATGAATGTCTGTAGTTTATTGGAAATCCCTTTCGTGACGCGCCAAGTCTCTCAACCATACATAAGCACTGACTTGACGTTGGTGTTGAAAATCCACATCTTGTTCACATTTGCTGAGTGCAGAAGATATCCACACTGGTTTCAGGCTAATGAACGACTGTCTTGCTTTTCCGATTCTGACTTTGACAACTTCGTCTGTCCCGCCTGTAGTTGAGACAGTGCTGCCTAGATAGGTGAAGGAGGTTACTTCCTTTAAGTTTCTCCCGTCCATGGTGACTGGAGTTTGTTGTTGTTGTTGATGGTGGTGGTGCGGTATCTTCATCACTTCTGTCTTCTCTGTATTCACTTGAAGTCCCGTCTTCGCTGCCTCTTCTATCAACTTGTTAGTTTTCGCCTGTAGATCTTCAAGTTTATGTGACATCAGGCACAAGTCATCGGCGAAATCCAAGTCTTCTAGGCTCTTTTCCGCAGTCCAGCGTATCCACCTCTTCTCGCTCCCCACTGTTTGCTGCTTGATCCAGTCCACCATAATCAGGAATATCATGGAGGATAGTAGGCAACCTTGCTTCACTCCTGTCTTCACTTCAAAAGCATCACTGAACGTCCCATTGTGAATTACTTGGCATGTGGCATCTTCATATAGTTGTTGAATGAGGCGGATAAAGGTTTGCGGTATTCCGTAGTATTGAAGCAGTTTCCAAATTACTTCTCGGTCGACGCTGTCAAAAGCCTTCTCGAAGTCGATGAAGTTGAGGTAGAGAGCTGATTGCCATTCTATGCTCTGTTCTATGATGGTGCGAGGCGTTGCAATTTGGTCTGCACATGATTTGTACTTCCTGAAGCCTGCCTGTTTTGGTCGTAGTTTTGAATCCAGTGCATTCTTTAGCCTCTCCAAGATGATGCGGCTTAATATTTTACTTGGGGTGGATAGGAGGGTGATTCCTCGCCAGTTCTTGCAAACAGTGAGGTCTCCCTTCTTCGGCAGTTTGACGAGGTAACCCTTCTTCCAATCACCAGGTACCTTCTCTTCCCTCCAGTCCTTCTGCAGTAGTGGTGTGAGCATGTCCGCTGTTGTCTCTGCGTCTGTTCTCAGTGCTTCTGGTGGGATTCCATCTGGTCCTGCTGCTTTCCCGCATTTCAGTAGCTTTATGGCGTTCAGGACTTCTGCTTTTGTTGGAGGATTTATGTTCACTTGTAGTTCAGCGGCTGCTGGTGGTATTTCTGGACGAAGTGCAGGTGGTGGTCGATTCAAGAGCTTCTTGAAGTGGTCGGCCCATTGTTTCCTCGGTTTCTCTTCTTTCGTAATTAGATTTCCGTCATCATCTTTTATTGGTTTCGTCTGTGTTGATTTCTTCCCTGATGGCAACCTGGTTATTTGATACAATGTCGTCAGGTCTCTCTTACCTGCAGCCTGTTCTGCATCACTTGCCAGTGTTTCGTAGAAGTGTCTTTTGTCTCTGCGTGCACTCTTCTTCACTTCTTTGTCCAGTGTTTTGTACATTGTACTCAGTTCCTCTTGTCGTTGAGCATCCTTGCACTGGTTTATCTTCTGCTTCACCATCCTCCTCTCCCTTCTATCAGCTTCCATGTATCCATTGAGATCCATTCCCTGTCTTCTTTCTTCTTCCTTCCTAATACGGCTGTGCAGGTGTATTTCCACATAGCTTTCAAAGACTTCCAGTGTTCTTCCACACAGGTTTCTTCACGGATGTTCCTCGATATCTCCCATTTTGTCTTGATGGCTGGCTTGATGATCTCCTTCGTAGTTTCATCCTTCAGTTTCCGAGTGTTGTACTTGAACTGCGGTCTATCACCAGCTTCCTTGAAGGCTTTTAACTTGACTTGGAAGGTTCCTTGCACTAGACAGTGAGTGATGTGAACCTACATCTGCTCCTCTTCTCGACCTTGTGTTAAGTAGACTGCATCTCCATTTTCTTGAGATTGAGATAAAGTCGATTTGATTTTTAGTGTGTCCTTCTGGTGAAATCCATGTCGCTTTGTGGATATCTTTGTGCCTGAACACACTGCCTCACTGCAATCACCAAATCGTTGAATGCACAGAATTCTGCAAACAATTCTCCATTCTCGTTCATCACCTCACCTAGCGCCTCTCGACCCATGGTTAGTTCTCTTCCTGTGTTGTCCCCTCCCAGTTTGGCATTCATGTCGCCCATTAGAATTTTGATATCGCCAACTGACGTCTTGTCTAGTGTTGATTGAAGTTGTCTGTAGAATTCCTCCTTTTTCTCTTGCTCTGCATTATTTGTAGGTGCGTGGCGTAGCATTGTATGATTGTGACCTTCCTTCCTTTTGAGTTGAATCTTGCTGTCATGATCCTGATGGTAGGAGATTGGTTCCCACTGCATGAGAGCCTTCGATGCTCTTGAGGACATCATGATAACCACTCTGATACTCAGTGTGCTCTTGGCTGTCGTCTGGGTGACAATATTGGAGTAGATTATTGATTCTCCAGTTGACAGTTTGGAGAGTCCACTCCCATTCCATCTGCTTTCGCAAATCCCAAGCACTTCGATGTGATACCTTCTCATCTCCTTTACAATCTGGGCTGCCTTACTGGGTTCAAACATGGTGCGGACATTCCATGTCCCCACGTTTACTTTCGCTTTCATCGAGGGAGAGAAGACACATCGGCCAATTGGCTTCCCGAAGTCAGGCTTTCACCAACTGGCGTCATTTCGCCTCTCCGATTCCAGCGAGGAATAAGTTTGTTTTTATTTTTTATATATCGTTTGTGCTTTGAAGTTTGTTTAGCGGTTAGATTTGTTTTACGGGGCAGGGTTGCTAGCCCTATGCCCAAGCTTCCCTGTTTACCCGGGCATAGGACCGGCTAGTAACTAGTGAACTAGTTAACCAGGCGAGGTTATTGAATGTTATGGTTACGTTTTAGTAAGTAGTTGTTGTATATGTGACACGAATTTAGAATTTTTGATAGCTGGAAAGCTGGGGGTGGGGGAGCGGGGGATAAGTGAGCTGATGTAGATAGTCATTGAATCATGTTAAGAGCTGGTTTTATATAGAGTAACTGTAACAAAGCATGAGTGGCTCAAGGAATGATAAACCGGAGATAGTATATCAAACGAGATTGTACGCATCTTCTAGATGAAGAGATTCGAACATATTTGATATGATGAGAAATGTATTCGAAAGTGATGACTAGCAAAAATAACATTTGCACAATATGCCATCAACAAATTCATGGAGGAATCGGGAGAATTATGTGAAGAAATGAGTAATCGTTAAATGTTGGTGTAACAAGTCACGCTCCACTCAATAACAATAACACACAAGTCAATCTGTGAATTGTGTATTCACCTACTTACATTTCAAGTGTAACACAGAGTTTTGCAGCAACGAGACAGAGTGTGGCTTGGCTTACAAATGGTAGCAGAGTCAGTGGTGCCAAACAAATGCCAACTAATCGAAATAAACTGTCACTCATGTAGCGAGAGGAGTGTACCTGAAATATGTTGGTACAATAACAAGATGGACATTGAATTTGTGAGACAGAAACAATCACTTCGGTAGTCAGATTTGCCATTGTTTAGCAGAAATCAGTTTTGAAATATTCGATAATGGAATTCCACAGAATAATCATTAGCAGAATTTTGAAATGAGGCTGCAGTACTTCAACACTAACCTCTTCAGGGGAATGTATGAGAACATGAGATTTGTGTCAAATACGCTGCTACATAAAATAATAGCAACGGAGGGTAGGAAGTTCACATATCTGAAATCTTGAGGTGTCTGTTTCATGTCATCTCATAGCAGTCCATTCACTGTTCAGTTCAATATGCGAAGTCAGCGGACACAGATCATCGGTAATTTTCACCACTGATACATCGGTGTAGAAGTCAGCTGACACTGGAAGACAGCATCCTACAATCAAGTATGCTTCATCTCTGTTTTTCACTTCACTCAGCGGAACATAGTCTTTGAAGTGTATTCGCAGCATAGTCTCCTTACTGCTTCTCATCTCATCACTGAAGAAGCCATCTATCGCCATGTTCTACTATACCGTGTATTGTGCATATCTTAGATACCGTGAGGGGCATGCGGTGTACCTTAGATTATCGTGAGTAAATATTCACCTTCAATATTCCTCAGTGGTGATGTCGGGTGTTCAACCAGGTCAGATGAAATCAGTTTGTCAGTTTGTAGAACTAGTTTTCTCTCAGTTTATTTTGAACATCTTGACAGTCGATTGTTCCGTCATTCCAAACACTGCAAGCCTGCAAATTCGAAGTGTCATATCGGACAAAATATTCTCTACATCAGTCTCTATCTTACATATGTTCAATTCACTGTATCGTGAAGTAGCAAGATGCCTAGCAGATATTCTGAATCCGCTACAACATAAGTTGGCTAAATATAG